GCCTTCCACAACCTTTCACCTCTCTTCTTGAAGCCACACCGTCACGAACAATAAAATAAAAAGAACCATACAATAATCAGGAGAGATTTTAGTTTATAAAACAAAAATTTCAAATATTTAATTAAAAACACAGAACCATCAAGATGTGTGCCAACTATCTCAAATAAATAGAGACTCTTACTGCTGTAACCCATGTCCTCCATTTGCAAGATGACCTGGACCATGGGACTGCCTGTTTTCCCAGACATTTAGCTGAAGGTGCTTTTCTCACACAACATCCTGTGGAGGAGGTGGAGCCAATCAAGTTCAAAACTCCAAGGAGAGCAGGAACCATAAGATGATCTGCTTGGAATTTTAGCCATTAGTCACGATTTCTGGCAGATATTTTGATTGAATCAGAGGAACAATTCTTGAAGACTATTTTCTTTTCAGCACCCAATGGTATGGGAACAAGTCCCACATGGGAGGAAAAACTGACAAGGCCTCCAAACTATCAAACTCATTAACATTATTATTTTTATTATTATTTGAATTGTGGTAGCACCTAGGAGCCCCAGTCATGGACCAGGACCCTACAGTGCTAGCCACTCTTTACTCCTAATATTTAACTCCACACAAGAGAAAGGTATTGGCTTCATGACCAAATCTGCTGAGAGACAGAGAATAACTGTGAGAGGGTGCACTGTCTTTTATGTTCTTGGTTCCAAATCAATGTCTCCTCTCGCCTATCCCCTAGAGACTTTACTGCTTTACACTGTTCTATGATTTGTGTGGCAGGGCAGTAACTCCTGGACTAGGAATCTGCAGAAGCAACTTCTCAAAGGACAACTGTAATACATGTCAAGGTAAAGCAACAGTTCTTCTTTAAGAAAGCCAGCTAGACTCAAATATGACCAGACACTAAACAGTACAATCGGTTGCCCTTTTTGGTCTGAATGGTTGGCCAATATTTGAGGCCTTGCAGGATGTTTCCATTAGGAGGAGAAATTGATGGTAGAGTCAGGTATTTATTTCTTGCAATCCTGTTTATTTACAAAACATGGACACAAACACCTGTTTCTCTGAACACAGTATGAACAAACAGAGCAGGCAGTGTCCTTGCTGGCTATTAGCCTCCTTTCCAGACAAAGCTCTGCCCAATATAATCTCTCTCTCCCAGCTTCCTCTCAGGGTCATGCTATCAGTGTTTCTCTGGCTTTGTCCTTACTTTTCTGGCTGCTTTCTTCTTCTAACACGTACAGCTAAAATAAAATTAATACCCCCAACCCCTGCTTTTGCAATCAGTTCCCAGTGAAACCAACTCATTCTTACGAAGTTAATTTTTTGCTCAAGCCTTTCATTTGGTCAGTGCTTGGGGTGGCGACTTCTAGTGCTCCAGCTATCTTACTACATAAAGGAGCTTAATTGCTTTTTCCATTTTGCCCAAGTCAAGTGTGCCCATCAGCTTCAAAAAGGTACGTTATTGCCCACAGAGTACACACTTGCTGGAAGCTACCAATATACTTGAAGGAAGCTACCATGCTCGTTGATATAAGATGATATATGGAGCAAAGAAGCAAGATCTTTCCATTTAAACCTATATCCTTACGAATCCTCCATTATAAGAAGCAAACAACCACTAATTCATCACTGATACTTTTTAGCTACTATTTCCAATCCTTCTATCTTCTACCAATCTCATTTGTGTTGAGATGCTAAACGTACATCTACAGTAAAGATCAAGTTTCAAAATAATTATGTAACACATTCTCTCTCTCGTGTCTATATCCAGAGGTCTATTCAACCTTGGACACACACCCATGAAATCTGTATTAACATTAACGTGAGGCATGTGTACATAGCCAAGGAAAGAAAGACCTTGTAAGTCTCTGAAAATGAATCATCTTATCTACAAAACTAAAGAAAAAACATCAGTGTTATAAAACAGTAGCAAAGGGAATAGAGTTACTCTTCAACTACACCACTATTAACATTAAACTTGGTTAATGACTTCCTCTCCCAAGTGAATGAACATGAACTTCTCTGAATGTTCATTTCTTCTCTTATATGTTTTCGAAAACACTTGATTAACTTTTAGAACTACACTACTAAAACAACAGTTCCTGTGGCCTCACTTTGACCTGACTTTGATAGACTCACATAATGATTAGATTAAAATAGTTGCTGAAGTCTGCAATTAGATAGCTCTCCTATATTGCAAGACAAGCTGTACAGACTTCCTTTACTGTGCCCTTTATTTCATAAGTACTGCACAATACTGTACTTTTGATCATGTGAGACTGTTCTGGAGTGGAGGCGGGGGTTCCAGTAGACATAAATCCTGAGTTGAGTCAACAGAAAAAAGACTTTAATAAAATATTAGAATAGTGTATGCAAAGTACAGTATTCTGTACCACTGTATTGTTATTTTAAAATCCAATTTACCTTTTACAGTTTCAGTCCTTTACTTTTTCACTTAACTCAGGCTACTTACTCTATGAACCCTGGGTACACAATCATTTGTGCAACCCACACTAATGCCTGTACCACCAAAACTTCACTGCTAATTTTAGTGAGCTAGCTAGATGAAAGCCCGCGTGGGTATGTCTACATAAGCTGCAAATCTATTTTAAAAAGAATCTTATTCCTTTTACTTGGTTTGCCACGATGCCTTCTGCACATTTGCACAGTTCCTCATTTTTCTCACTTATACTTTATTTATTCTCTGAAGATTTTTTCCATATAGCAAATACATAAAGTACAACATTTTTTCAACTTAAATCTATCTGTGCTAGACATTTTAACAACAGGCTGATAAATATTCAACCATAATATACACAGTCATTTCAGTGGTTAAGAGATGAAAGTCTGCATTACTTTATTCAGGAAATGAAATGTAGGTTTCATTGCAATATCCTTTAGTACATGTAACTTATTTAAGTTATGCAGTGGGTTATTCAACAAGCAAGTGATGCAATGACTTGCACAGATAAGTTACTGCACAATTTACAAGGCCTTGGAGCTAATTCATAGTGACAAGCTGTTCCGTTATAATCATACCTCTCAAGGGCTCGACAGTCATAAGTAGAGAGCTCTGAATATTACTTAACAATTAAAAACTGCTCTACCATTTAGCAGAAGTTTGAATTTTGACTCTTATGAAACCTAGCTACTTCCATGTTTATTAGGGCTAATACCACGCTTTCTTCTCTCAAGACAAAAATCTGCTCCACGGGAAACTTTAATTTAATACAACTTAAAACCAAACTAAAGACAATAGGGATGAAGAAGTCTGGGGAGGGTTGGGGAAAAAGATGGGGAGAATGATGCAGAAAGTGAAGGAACATTTACTAGGACACCCCTGGCCGGTGAGAGCATGGAGTGGGAAACGAATGTATAAAGAAAGGTTGACTTGTCCAACTAGACCTTCTTTATTGGCTTATGCTGTAAGTCCTACAGCTATAGTGGGAATTACATCCAGTTTCAAATTTTCTGGAGTTCATAAACAATAGGATCAGATGTTTTCTTTAGAGTCGAAAATGATTATAGTCTCTTGCATTCAGCAAGTTTCTATTTAGACACCACCATCAGTGTTCCCATAGGAGGAATTGTCCCAAATTAAAGAAAAAAGAAAGAATACAATCAAGAATATTCCAGCACTAAAGGGCTAACATAATACAATACTTGCAGGAGCAGTGCGGCATTTATCATTGTTCCACACTAAATGGCACCACAAAGAAGAGAAGAGAAGAGTACTAGTCAAAAATAAATAAATAAAGGGTAAGATGATTGACAGTCTGAGGACAGAGCACAGATACTCCTTCCCAAACCAAATACTCTCTGTATTTCTGTGTTTCTAAGATTCATGCATTTAAAGGCCAGAAGGAACTACTGGTATCATCTAGTCTGATCTCCTGCACAATGTAGGCCACAGAACCTTACCTAGTAATTTTTTCATAAAGCTCAGCTTTCGTTTGAGCTATAGCATATCTTTCAGAAATATATCCAGTCTTGATTTAAAGACTTCCAGTGATGGAGAATCCACCACATCCATAGGTAAGTTGTTCCAATGGTTAATTACTGTAACTGTGAAAATCATGCACCTTCTTTCTAGTCTGACTTTGTCTAAACTTTAGTTCCCAGCCCCTAAGGAACTGGTTATATTTCTGTCTGCTAGACTAAAGAGCCACCTCTTTAGTCACCTCATTCTCACAACATGATCAAGTCACCTCATTCTCACAACATGTTCTAGTGCTGTCTTGATTTACAAACTTAGTTTAAAGTGTTTGCATCAAGGATGCCCAAAACATAGCTGGAGTGTCAACTGTGGCCCACCGAGTCCTAAAATCTTGCTTGTGGCTGTCCTCTCTCTAACTACAGGAGGACAACAAAGGTGATCAGGTGCAGGTTTTTCTAGAGGGTGAATTGAAAAAAGCAACAACTTCTATTCATTTACCTTGGAAAATACAAGTACAAGAAACATTATGGATGTGTATATTATTTTGATCTAAAAACGCCCACAAATTTATTGGTTCGTGGCAAGTGATGAATGAATTTGGGTACCCCGGGGTTATGCACACTAATGGCCTGGGTGCCAACATGTGCTGCTAGAACCTTGGGGCAAGTTACTGGAGCACTTTCCCCAGGGTGGCAGTCAGAAAGGGGCGACAGTTTCCGCGGCAGCAGCTTCTCCATTCCGCCAGCAACGGCGGCAATTCAGCGGCAGCTTCTCTCTCCCTTGCCGTCTACGGTGGCAATTTGGCGGCAACAGGTTTTTTCACTGCTTGGGGCAGCAAAAATGGTAGAGCCAGCCCTGACTTTCCCAGAATACATTTGGTGTTTTTATAAATTAGAAAATCAGATCTATCTGCATAAATCATCCCTCATTCTCAAATCGCAGTCAAGATTTTGTGTTTTCAAAAGTGTGATGGCCACATCAAAAATACATAGTCATTAAATAAAAATAGTCAAAGCTGTTTGCCTTTTTTCCTTTTACAGGAAACAATTTAACAGCTACTCACTGTGAACAAGGAAGCAAAAATCTTTCCACATCAGCAACAGTGTGAGCTTTGTGAAGCCCTCTGCATCATATTCCACCACACCACTATAAAAACAGAAATATAAAACAAGAACACAGTTTTACACAATATTCCTTACAATAATAAACAATAAGCAAATGGATATTGAGTTAAAGCGAAGGAAAATACTCAAGATTTTACTTTATTTACTATCTGCTATTATGTTCTATCCAAATGCAGGCTGCATGTGGCTCCTCTCAAATGGAATAATTTTCTAACTTCCATCACAATAATGGAGCTTCCATCTGAGGAATGGCTATAGTCATTGTAAACAAGATACTTTTGAAAATGCAGTGAGCTCTGCTTATGGCACTTGCAATGATAATTCAGTAATAACTGAACATATCTACCCAAAACTGCATGTATGTTACTCAGATAGAGATCATTAATACACTATGACATTGAAGTTAGATGTAAAAAGCAGAGACCTTACTGAAAATCTAGGGACCCATGTCAATAACATTGACTTCCAATAGTCTAGGTCAGGGGTGGGCAAACAACGGCCCAGGGGCCACATCCCGCCCTCCAAACATTTTAATCTAGCCCTCGAGCTCCTGCTGGGCAGTGGGGTGCCCCACTCTGGCACTCTAGGAGGGGAGCAGGGTCAGGGGCTTGCCCTGCTCCGCGTGGCTCCTGGAAGCAGCGGCATGTCCCCCCTCTGGCTCCTACGTGTAGGAACAGCCAGGGGGATCCACACACTTCCCTAACCCCAAGCACCGCCCCTGCAGCTCCCGTTGGCTGGGAACTACAGCCAATGGGAGCTACAGGGGCAGTGCTTGCAGACAGGGCAGCATGCAGAGCTGCCTGGCCTCGCATCCACATAGGAGCTGGAGCAGGGGGGACATGCTGCTGCTTCTGGGAGCTGCTTGAGGTAAACGCTGCCTGGAGTCTCCACCCCTGCCCCCCGTCCACGCCCCAACCTCCTGCCCCAGCGCTAATCCCCCTCCTGCCCTCTGAACCCCTCGATCCCAGCCCGGAGCACCCTCCTGCACCCACAACCTCACCCCAGAACCCGCACCCCAGCTGGAGCCCTCACCTCCTCCTGCATCCCAACCCCCAATTTCGTGAGCATTCATGGCCCACCATACAATTTCCATCCCAACATGTGGCCCTCGGGCCAAAAAGTTTGCCCACCCCTGGTCTTAGGTGGAGTCTAAATCTGACAATATATACATTGAAAATATACAAATATACATTCAAAATCCACAAATCATATTTTAAATTTGAAGAAGAGCTTTCACATGGACATATTTTTAGTCACAGAGAAAAAAAATCCATATGACAGCTGAATTAATATCTTCATCCTCGATTCCCGATTATCTTATATTGTTAAACACTCAGGCGTGTCAAATTACTGTGGTGCTGTTGTTGTTATTGTTATTTTTGCTGCTGTTGTTTTTTTAATTTAGTTTTTGTATATTGTAAAATTTATCACATTGTCATAAATAATACACAAGGACCTAAATTCTGATTCAGTTGCTTATGCAATTCCCCTTCCCTCCCCCCCCGAAATGGATTAAATACCCAAACCAGTGTATGACAGCATCAGAACATGTAAACTGGAATGTTTCAGGATACTAATTTGTTATGTACCATGTGCGTTTCATGCTTTTCATCATCAACTGAGAGGTAAACAACTTTATCTTATCGACCCTGGGATCAGATGGGCTGTACGGTCATGTTTAAACCACAGCAGGATGCTAGCACAGTTTACTTGGTCATTATGGAGATGGATTCTTTTTCCCTTAAGAACTGTGTTATAAATCCACTGCACAGATGGAGGGTTTTCTGTAGCACAGATTGGATTGAATGATTCTCAGAAAAGAAATCATGTTTTTAGTCAGACCAGTTCTCCAAGGTCTGTACTAACTTCTGATTTGCACCATGGGGTAATTTAAGTCATTGATATCAATCTATAAAGACTTATATGGTTTGGATCCATAAGAGACTGCCTCTCTCCTTAGGTGTCATTGTGCCACCTCAGACCATCTGGGGTGCTCCTCCTTACAGTCTCTCTATAACCATCCATCCATTCATTTTTTGATGTGCCTATTGTCATAGTATCTCTGTAGTCACTCTATACAGAAATAAGGAAACTTCAGTTTCTTCCCAAAGGGATGAAATCTACTATCTCCTCCTCATTTTAGCTTACTTCCTGAGTTGAATCAATGTAGTGGCTGGCTTCCAGAAGTAATAATGCTGGATTACTTGTTAGCATCACTACCAGGAGAAGGCCCATGTGCATCATTTTCTGAAGATGCTAGATGTGGACTTATCCAGTGGAAGTTAATTATATACAAGGGTCATGTAATAAGCATGCTCTCCTGCCCTACAGCAAGTTTTACCTCTAGCTTCAAGTCATCCTGTTGATTGTAGCTGCTATAGTAGGATTATATATAATGTGTCAGCAGAACCTTATAATGAGAGGTAGAATGTCATTGCCTCAGCTAACAAACAAGACATCTAACTGTGAATCAGAAAGGTAAAATAATTTTGCTTTTGCTGCTGTTACAGGAGAAGATGCATTAAAAGAAGACTTACGTTCCAAAGTGACTCAGGAAAGCTGCAATATACTCCCTTCTCTTGTGGTATCCCTGAATAACATACTGTACCTGGGGGGGAAAAAAGCCAACCTAAAGCTATGAAGACATTTTACAGAAAGAAAAGGCTCCCAACTTTTCATATTTTTCTAGTTTTATGGGAGAAATCTATTTACAGAATATTAATAACATTGCACCCTACTTTTAGATGGCATGTTTCATCCTAAAGGATCCTAAAATGCCTTTCAAACAAACTGTACACAGGGCTGTCTTCATTCACCTGTAGGTGAAGCAGCACCCAGTAGCACTACTGTGCAATAAGAAGTGAAGAAGAATATCATATCCAGTTGAAGCAATAGAAAGAACCTTAGATGAGCAATATGTAATTGGCTGAGCTAGCATTTGGCCAGGATGCTAGAGAAACACCCTGTTAAGAAAATTGCTTAGGACCATAATTGTGTGTGTCATCTGAAAAACAGCATCTCTAGCAGCAGAGTACTTCCTTACAGTAAGCTGTATTATTGGCTTCAGGCTGACCCAGATAGAAGAGAGCCACTTACTGAATTGTCAGCACCAAATTCTGAAGTATCCTGAGTTTCCCTTGAAAGTCTTTCATCCCAGCACTGATCCAGACCACTACACTTAGGTTGGAAGATCTGAGCCCATTGAATAGTCTTGCTTTACATGAATAGCTCTGTTGACATGAATGGATTACTTGCAAGATAAGCAAGGTCTGACTCATGATGAAACCAACACCAAAGATGCTAGGCTGAAGGAGTATCTAGTTCCCAACTCATTATGTTATATCTATAGGATGCTTCCATTCATAGTCACTTATACAAATCCTACTTTGCTTTTCATAATGGAAACTAACTCTTTTAGAGCCTCTTAATGCAGAGAGAAAGAAGAGTGGGGAAAATATATAGTTTATTTGTGTTGGCTATGGTAACATTGGATTTCCTTGGTTGGCAAATGCTTGTGTTAAGTTATTTGAAATAACCTTGATACAATCAGTGCTCAGAGCTATGTTATACTCTCTCAAAGTAAAATAATTCTATTTATGAAATAGGACTTATTTCAGTTTATAAAAAAGTGCTCAGTTTGAAGGCTGTGTGTGGGATCTGAAGCATTATTTTGGAAAAAGGAAAACAGATGATAAGTTTGCTTAAGTAACTTTGTTTAAAAAAAGGATAAAAAAAACAGTCCTGTGTACATGTAGGTTTCAAAAACGGAAAGTAGTTTTAACAGAAAACCACAACAAAACAGCTCTAAAGATAGATTTCTGTATAATTATGGAAATGCATTTTGAAGGAACCTTTTCTAAAAGACATCATTTAATTTCCTCATTTAAACAAGAAAAACAAAAAATATGAAATAAAAAAGACAAAATAGGGAATCTACAGTAACCAGATTGCTGAATATCTGACCCTAAGTTACTGTTCTAAGTTAAAAACTACATTTAAATCATCTGAGAAAATTTTCAAAATACTGTACCTAATGAATAAATCTTCTCTTTGGCTGAGACTCTAAGCCAAACGGAATACAACTTTCCATTAATGGAAAAGGTAAGTGGCTATTACTTTACTATATCAACATTCATCAGAGAAGATGAATCAGTCCATCTGGATGAATCAGCTGAGATAATATCACTGTAACAGGACCTTTTGTCAAGTGCTCACAATCGACAGTAATCTAGGGATAGTTAGATGTCTTTCCACTGAAAGATAAAATCAATGGCTATACATTGCTATTTATCTAGCAAGAGAACAATAATATGTTGGGGTGACATTTTTATCCTAATGTACCTTAAAAGAATAAGAAAACCCCTTTAAAACCCAAGAAATGCTGTATACCTACAACTCCCACTGACTTTACTGGGACATGAAAATGTTCAGTCTCTCACAAGATCAGGTATAAGATGGTGTTACTTGAATAGTTTAACTTGCTTGAGTTTGCTTTACTTAAATCATCTGGTCGAATAAGTAGAATCCTTTGTTTCCACAGTGGTTTCATAAAAGTGCTTGCAAGGTACACAAGAAGGAAAGGAGAAATTACGTTCTCTGTATTAACTTACCTTGTTAGTTAGCAGCTGGCACACTTGTGGTACATAGTCAATGAGACAGCCTCCACCTGGAAAAGCTGGGATGTGAAGGGCAGAGGAGCCTCCAAGAGCACTAAAATTAAAATAATTTTATTTCACAATATATTAGATGCTGCTCCTATGGGACACGTTAGTGATTCTTACCTTTCCCAATGTAAAAAGCCCAGCATCACACTAAGAAAAGGTTACAAACTGATTTTTATTAGCCCTGGACTATGTAATAAATATTAGAGATACAAACCGTAACTTTACTGTATACTGCTGACACCTTACTGACAGCAGACGTCTTTAACCAAGAGTATCAAACCCCTCCAACTGGAAGAGTTACGTGCTCGTACTAGGAGTGGCAGACATACCAACCATCCTCTCGAAGAATAGTTTTAATTTTATTTATTTAATTATTTGTATTATTTTTATCACCATTGCATCTAGGTTCATAGCAGCTTAAATGCAACCAGACATTGCATCAAATTGTACACAACAGACAGTATAAACAGCCTTCCATGTAACACCCAAGCATCCATAAATAACCCACTTATCTCCACAGTAGTTCAAAAAGAGTAGTTTCTCAACACCTTCGAGAGCCACTAACTAAATAACATATCTATTATCCCTACCAAATCCTGTAAGTGTGAGATCAACACTTCATGGTCAAGCATATCAAAGGCATATCCAATAAAATCAACATGAACGTTTGACTGGAGCTGGCTGCCCTGTTTTAAAATTACATTATGTGCCCTCCCCTTTTCTTGACTAGCTCTATACCTGAACTTTGTCCATCACTAGAAAAAGATCATCTGAATAAAGGTACTAATTCTGTCCCTGTACCACACCTAGACCAGAAACCAGAATGTGAGAAACCTAGGACAGTGAGAGGAACCCAAAGCTGCACTGGAACAACCTTTTCAATAGCCTTTCCCATAAAAGGAAGATTTGAGGGAGGACTGTAATTGTCAAGGCCAGGAACTTCATCTGATGGCTTCCTCTGCAAGCAAGGCCCTAACTACTTTTTCTTAAATGTTGATTGTACACCCAGATAAAGGCAATACCAGTTTTTTCAACAACAGACCTAAATCCTTCCCATTATCTTTTACCAATCATAAGGGGCCTGAACCTATCTTACAGGTCATGGCTTGTATCTCTCTTTGAACATACAGTACTTCTCTATAAATGAAACTAAGCTATACTCCAAAAGTTAAGATGTTACTTTGTCTCACGCTGTTTATGTATTTCTCCCACAAAAACATTAAGATCCAACAGATCTTCTCTGCAAAGCAAGGTCCTTATCCTACAAAGGGATCCTCGGGCATGAATTCTTATGCCTTGACCAACTTTTTCTTTGTCTAGGTAGAAGGTTCTGTACTGGCAAAACCCTTTGAAGGATAGAAGCCTAATCAAAAATTTATCATTATGAGGTACACTGAAATCTGTTACTGAAACAGTCTGGAGTCAGCAGATTGTTCACCACATGAAATAGTTCTGTAGGTCTGGACTTTGCAGATGCAAGATTGAATAAGAAAAAGAAAACATTTCAATGTATATCACAGCCACAGAGGAACAAAACTCATTATGCTGTCATTAGTCAAATATGGAGCCATTTTTTGTCAACAACTTTAGTTTCCTTCTTGGTTGCTTTGTTTGTTGCAGGTCATCTATTTTCCAAGGTGATGTGTTGAGGAGTATGGGAATGCTATCTGGTCACTTATGGATGATCATAACGTATTAGCTGGCCATCAAAAGCGCAGTCCGATAGCCAAACACTAATTTCCCCTCAGAAAATTCTAAAATTATATTCAGATTGGAGGAATGAAGCAGGGTCCTCATCCTGACAAGTTAAGAGTGGGCTCTGATCCTACTCTGAAGATGATAATGATCAGGCCATGTCAAGTTTGCAATCACCACTCCCTATATTATACAAATATATCCCCTGAACACTTCTACCTTTAAACAAAGGAAGTGCTACTGCCCATCCCACAGTCTCCCTTGCTTCAGTTGCACTCAAATCTAAGGCTCCTCTCAGCAGTAAGATCCCACTGGAGATGCTCAAAATAGTACAAAGAAAATCAGAGATTTCTCTTTTGGTTCCAACAGACATAAAAGAATCTCTAACAGTTTTCAAATGCTGCTTCTTTTCTAATATTGCCCTAGTGCAATCCATTTTCCAGACTCTGAATGATTATTTAAAATTTGTGACCAATGGCTTGTCTACACTAGAGAGTTTTGCCACTTTAACTGTAACAATTATAGATAAAGTGGCAATACAATTCTCTACTATGAAAGCAGTTATATCAGTATAAAAATGCCTATACCAGTATAGCTTACTCTGGTTCAGGTACTGAAATAACCAATAAGCAATGCCATTCTAAGGCCATGTCTACACTTGCCATTTAAAGTGGAAAAAGTCCCTTTTTTTTTTTGCGCAAAAACCATGGGAGTGTCTACACTTGCCAATCACTTTTTGCAGTGAAACTCAGAAGTTACACCACAAAAAGAAAACCACCTCCACGAGAGGCATGCAGCTCTTACCGGTGATGCTTTTGCAGCCATGTGCAAGTGAAGACACGTTCTTCCTGTGTAAACAGCTTTTAGCCTCCGGAGGATATCCCACAATGCCTAGGTGACCACTCTGGCCAGCAGCTTTGCTGTTCTGTTGTGAGGTAAAAAAAGACATTCACACCTCCCCCTGTAAAGCCCAGGGAACTTTGAAACTCCCCTTCCTGTTTTCTTGGCAAGTGCTCACTTATCTGGCCAGGTGACAATGGCTATCCACGATCCCCTGCTTGGAGCAATGCTGAGCTACTGGAGCTTATCAGTGTTTGGGGAGAGGAGACTGTGCAGGGACCGAGGATGCACCGCGATCACATGACCCATCGTCAAACTGGAGAGAGCTGCACTGTGGGACAGCTGCCCTCGAGCGCTGCTCTCGTCCGCGATGGAAGTGCTGCTAATGTAAACAGTCTCTGGCGCCTGAGGAATTAAGTGAGTACACAAACCAGTGCTTTACTTTCACCGGTTTCCTATCACCGGTGAAACTTACACCGCAAAAACTCTGCAAGTGTAGACATATCCTTTAAGACACCTTTATACTGATATAACTGCACTGACATTAGGTTAATATCAGTATAGATATACCGGTAAAATATCACACCTCAAACTGAAGTAGTTATAGTGGTACAACTTTTCTAGTGTGGAGCAGGCCTAAAAATGTCTAGGAAAACCAAAAGGAGTACTTGTGGCACCTTAGAGACTAACCAATTTATTTGAGCATAAGCTTTCATGAGCAACAGCTCACTTCATTGGATGCATACTGTGGAAAGTACAGAAGATCTTTTTATACACACAAAGCATGAAAAAATACCTCCCCCCACCCCACTCTCCTGCTGGTAATAGCTTATCTGAAGTGATCACTCTCCTTACAATATGTATGATAGTCAAGTTGGGCCATTTCCAGCACAAATCCAGGGTTTAAACAAGAACGTCTGGGGGGGGGGGGAGAGGGAGAGGGTTAGGAAAAAACAAGGGGAAATAGGTTACCTTGCATAATGACTTAGCCACTCCCAGTCTCTATTCAAGCCTAAGTTAATAGTATCCAATTTGCAAATGAATTCCAATTCAACAGTTTCTCGCTGGAGTCTGGATTTGAAGTTTTTTTGTTGTAATATCGCAACTTTCATGTCTGTAATCGCGTGACCAGAGAGATTGAAGTGTTCTCCGACTGGTTTATGAATGTTATAATTCTTGACATCTGATTTGTGTCCATTTATTCTTTTACGTAGAGACTGTCCAGTTTGACCAATGTACATGGCAGAGGGGCATTGCTGGCACATGATGGCATATATCACATTGGTGGACTCTCACAAATCTTGGGAGACAGGCCAGTCCTTGCCTACAGACAGCCCCCCAATCTGAAGCAAACACTCACCAGCAACCACATACCACACAACAGAACCACTAACCCAGGAACCTTGCAACAAAGCCCGTTGCCAACTGTGCCCACATATCTATTCAGGGGACACCATCACAAGGCCTAATAACATCAGCCACACTATCAGAGGCTCGTTCACCTGCACATCCACCAATGTGATATATGCCATCATGTGCCAGCAATGCCCCTCTGCCATGTACATTGGTCAAACTGGACAGTCTCTACGTAAAAGACAGTCTCTTCTTTCTTGTATTGAGAGGCTCAGAACTGCATACAACATTGTAGGTGCATTCTCACGAGTTTTTTCATAGATACATAGATTCCAAGGCCAGAAGGAACCATTGTGATAATCTGACCTCCTGTACAATACAGGCCATAGAACTTCCCCAGAATGAGTCCAAGAGCATATGTTTTAGAAAAACATCCAGTCTTTATTTAAAAATTGTCAGTGATGGAGAACCCACCACAACCCTTGATAAGTTTCAGAGTAGCAGCCGTGTTAGTCTGTATTCACAAAAAGAAAAGGAGTACTTGTGGCACCTTAGAGACTAACCAATTTATTTGAGGATAAGCTTTCGTGAGCTACAGCTCACTTCATCGGATGCTGTAGCTCTCGAAAGCTTATCCTCAAATAAATTGGTTAGTCTCTAAGGTGCCACAAGTCCTCCTTTTCTTTTTGCGGATACAGACTAACACGGCTGCTACTCTGAAACCTTTAAATTATGAGAGAATTAGACTGTGAGATATTCCAGCTGTTAAGAGTCTTTTACTGAAAGTTTATTTTAAGATGATGCTTACTCCAATCGTTACATATTTCAGTAGTTATGAAGTCAGAGGACAGAACCTAATTTCAACAGAAACTATCCAACATCATACTGATAAGCCCTGCTAACTGATATAAATATCTGCCTCAACAGGTAAACATACTAGTGCCTGCCATTGCATTGCTTTTACTGAATGATCTCAAGTGATCTAATTACTTTAAGAAAATAAACATTGTAAGTAGTTTCAAAAGAAACAATTGAAAAAAAGGAAGCTATGTAAATGTAATTTTAGAATTTACTGTAATAATTATTATTAACCATATGAACAAAGACAAATCAACACAGCCTTTGTATTCTGCTCTGAAGGACATGTCTCTCGTACCT